CATTAGACCACACCCCTTCTCATTACAGAGATGCACATCACCTAATATGCTTAATTGGTAGTAGGCTTTCGAGCCTATACAGCTTGGAGTAAGATAACATGCATGAAGAGGATGATGTGGACAAAATACTCATTTGCCTAATAATTCTGCACTCCCTGTAGTTGGATGGTTCACGTGTACATGGAGGTTCAGTAGCACCATGGATACGTCTGCTCTCTTTGACTCTGTCGCCATTCCCCTGAAACCCGAGTCTCAGTTTTGCTTTGATTCACATTTTTCTCTGCAGAGTTGGCTTTAGTGAAAACCTGGGACAAGCAGTGAAGTGCTGTTTGATGATCACAGGGAATTCAAATGGTTGCACGTCAGCAGATTTGACCTTGAAGCTCATCACTGGACTGTTTCTCAGAACGCCGTCTGACCTGCAGTCGTCTCTGGTTGTGCAGGTTTCTCCTGTAAAGGAGCAGCTAATCTCACTGAGCCACAATGAGTGGCTAATATTAACATTCCGGTCCATTCTCACCGCCGTCTGCTGGTCACAGGTACCAAGTGCTGTTGAAGATGAGGAAACAGGAGCTGCGCGCTTCTTTCTCACATGATAATGATGAATACAGACAGCCATTAAAATAAGTTGACTTCTTAAAGCATAACTACAGACGACTGGGGCAGAACCTAAAAAATACTTTAGCTGAAACAATAATTACGGATCAATAATCAATTTATTATTATTGCTTCAAGCTTATCATTGGGTGTTTCTCTTAAAATATAAAGGGCCTTGTGGCAACTGCTGTTGTGATTTGGAGCTGCATAAATATACTGAATTGAATGCCAGAGTACTTTTTTAAACATTTGATCACAGCCACAGCATCACTTTTACCTGAAGAGTTTCCAGAACATTCAAACTCACACCATATTCAGGCTCAACAACCAAATTCAACCTCAAATGTCTTAAATGACCACGACTCTGAGAGGATTTTAATGCTTCGTGCTCAAGCAGGAACCAGAACACACAACCACAACTTTCTGCAGCCTCAGAGAAGCGCTATGCTCATGTTTCTGTTTGTTTTCACTGTGTGGGTCACAGTGGAGTGGGGTCAAAGGGCAGTGAAGGGAGTGGTGTAAGGAGGGGGTTAGGGAGTCATGAGCGATGGAGGACAAAACCCTGATGGCAGCTTAGTTTGCCTGTCTGCAGGATTTCAGAATAAAAGCGTGTTGACTAACGGTCGCTGTGTGGATCGAGCAGGGAGGGGTGGGCTGGGCTCCAATCAAAACACTCTCAGCAGGCCATGAACGTCGAGCTGTTTGAAAAGTTTTAGTGACTGAACTGTTCCCAAAATGAGTCAAACCTAAAATGATGCGCTGTCTGAAACAGTAATTAAAGATTGATAATCAATTCATGAATTAGACTTCAGCACACTGAGGAGGAAACCAATGAGATCACAGACGTGTAACACCTGAACCTAAATTTTAATTGTGCCTTTGAGCTTTAATGACTCACAGAAGATGACAAGAGCACAGCTGTTTGACCAGGGTCAGGACGATGTCACAGTTTATGTTCAGCGATAATATTTCGCAAAGTTTTAAAAAGTTTAATGTATGAAATCGTCCATCTGTGACATGTGTCAGCATCGTGCATTTAACTCCAGCTGAGCTCAGACTGTCTGCAGGCTTCAACAATGTGTGAAGGCGATACTGGTTCGTTCAGGGTGGCGTGCGCAGACTCAGAGTCTGTATGTGTGAGGACGGGAGGTGGGTTCTCGCTGTGCCTGCAGGACCACCTTCTACAGGGGGATTATCACAAGTGTCCCGAGCAGCTGCATCACTGTCTGGTATGGTAACTGCACCGTATTGGATCGCAATACCCTACAACGGATAGTGAGAGCAGCTGAGAATATCAGTAGAGCCCCTCTTCTCTCCATCACAGACACTTATAGCTCCCACTGATCCACAAAGCCACCAGCATTGTGGAGGACACCACACACCCCTCACACACACTCTTCACCCTGCTGCCTTCTGGAAAGAGGTACCAGAGCATCCGGGCCTTCACTACCACACTACGGAACAGTTTCTTCCTGAACACTCAGTGGCTGGACTGACACGCAGACACGCACACCTTCATACACGTCACTACAAAGTACTTATCTGCAGTATCTCATACATGCACACACACACACACACACACCAAGTTACTTTTTTTCCAGTAGTAGTAGTAGTATTTATTTATTGTCATTGTCAAGAACAATGAAATTGCGTTTGGGGCTTCCATACAACCCAAAAAAAAGAAGAAAATAATAAATACCCCTTAAAACCCAAGTGTACATATTTAACCCAGTGTGACTCCAATGCAATAAGACAATCCTTAGCAATAATGTTCGTAGAAATTCAGACAAAGACCTGAGAAACATGACAAAATACAACAATGCAACCCATTCAATATTATTGTACTGTGAGATATGATATCAGATATGATAGTTATCTATTTAAGAAAGAGGGGGGGGGCAGGAGGGGGAAGAGAATAAAGATATGATGCACCAATGCAGACCAGTTCATTGCTATTAAGAAGTTGGATATGGTTATTGTCCGTGAGAGGGGGGCAGAGAGTTCAGGAGCCTCACAGCCTGTGGATACAGGCTGTTGGCCAGTCTGGATGTTCTGGCCTGTATAGACCTGTACCTTCTCCCTGAGGGCAGCAGATGGAAAAGGTGGCGCGCAGGGTGATGTTGGTCCTGCAGGATACTGTGCACCCTCCTCAGACAGCGAGTGGGGAAGATATTACTGATCTCTGGCAGACTTGTTCCAATAATTCTGCCAGCTTCTTTCACCACCCGCTGGAGGGCTTGCTGATCGGCCTTGGTGCAGCTGGGGAACCACACTAGAAATCCATACGTCAGAACGCTGCTGATGGCACAGTTGTAGAAGTTCAACATCAGAGATCTGGGAATGTGTGCGCTCAGCAGTCTCCTCAGGTAGTAGAGGCGCTGTTGGGCCTTCCGTTCAACTGAGGTGATATGGTTGCCCCAGGACAGGTCCTCGGTCACAGTTACCCCCAAGAATTTAAAACTGCTCACCCTCTCCACCGCCTCACTGCCAATGAAGAGAGGCAGATGGTTGTTATGACCCTTCTTCCAGAAATCTACAATGATCTCCTTGGTCTTTTTGGTGTTTAAGACCAAGTTATTGTCGTGGCACCATGACTCTAGTTGTTGCACCTCTGTCCTATAGTTTGTCTCATCATTGTTGGATATAAGTCCGAGCACTGTAGTGTCATCCACTGCACTGTCTTGTGTCTGTATCGACCTGTTCTGTCTAGTGTTGCACTGTCTTGTCTTGTTTATTTTTGCAATTTCTTTGCACATTGCACTCTACGTAGTCCTGTGTTGTCTGTTATATGTCATATGTAGCTCCAGGGTCTCAGAGAAACACTGTTTCATTTCACTCTGTACTGTACCACTGTACATGGTTGAAATGACAATGAAAGTCACTTGACTTGATGTAACATCAGTATCACAGAGATGTTAAAGACCAAAGATATAGACAAGATTCAGACACAGATGTGCCTGTGTGTGCAGGAAAGTGCAAATGTCTGTCAGACCAGACTGTCAGCTAGTGAACAAAGTCACAGGGAGGAGATCAAGAGGGTACAGACAGAGTGGGTGTGGCCAAAAAAACGTTGCGCTGGAGTTCAGGTCCTTTCTGCTGGGCATTCGCCGCAAAACCTCACAGAACTTCACACTGACGGCCCTGATGGTCTTGAATGATGAATTCACACAGTGAGGTCAACATGCTCCTGACTGAGACACCACCTTGAGGTCTGAAACTGGTGAAGTGAAAAGTGCTGTTTTGTGGGTCATCACCAGTGAAGTTTGTCTCTTGGTGTTCGTTTACGTTCTTTTAATGTAACTTTTCACTGTTACGCTGACGACCTGCATCATGTTCCTTTAACCATTGGAAATTGTGCTGAAGTGTCTAAATTAGAATCGTGTCTATCTGTAATTAGGGGCTGGTTACCGGATAATTTCCTGCTTCTTAATACTGATAAGACAGAGTTGATGGTTACTAGACCACAAAAATTTCAATACTTGTCCCAAAATTTCATCTTGAAAATTGATGACTATGTCATAAATTGCAGGGACAAGGTTAAAAACCTGGATATGTGGTTCGACATGGTGCTCTCTTTCAAGTCTCATCAAGTTTTATCAAGCAACACTGCAGAGGTTCTTTTCCACATATTTGTGTCTTCACGTATCAATTAATGCAACGCTCTCCTTTCTGGGCTACCAAAGCAAAGTTTTAGAGGTTTACAGATAGTGCAAAATGCAGCTGCTCGCATTAAACCTGTATTGAAACCCCATCATTGGCTACCTGGCAGGTTCGAGCAGATTTTAAGGTCCTGCTGCTCACCTGCAAGGTTTTAAATGGTTTGGCACCTTCATACCTCTCTGATCTTTTGCACTCATATGTTCCATCCCGTGCTCTCCGATCACAGGATTCTGGCATTTTAAAAGTTCCTAGAGCCGGAAAAAAAACTATTGGGGAACGTGCTTTTTCTTTTCGTGTGGAACAACCTCCCTCAAGATATTAGGCAAGCATGCTCTGTGGAGGTCTTTAAAGCTAAGTTGAAGACCCACTTGTTCACCCCATCCTACATGTCTTAATTCTACGCCATTTAGTTTTTAAAATTTTTATCGTTTTTAACTTTTAATATTTTTTTAACTTGTTATTGTGTTTTTAACTTGTATTGCTATGTATCACTTTTATTTATTTATCTCTTTATTTTCAAATAGCTGTACAGCACTTTGTCTAAAAGCGCTTTATAAATAAAGTTATTATTATTATTATTATTATTATTTAAGAGAAGAAGTCTGCTCACTGACACTCATTAATGCAGGTATATTTTCCAGGTGAATCTAAAAGTTCCCTGTTCACTGTGTAGAGTGGCACAGAAGAGTCAGACAGGTGGACCCATGCGTCCTCGCCTGCTCTGAATCTTGATGATTGGTGATTGGTGGAGCCAAGCAAGCCAAGAGGAGACGGATGTTTTACATTTGCCAAAGCCAAACATCTGCCTCCATCCCAGCATCCTCCTGTGTCACTCCAGCCCTCTGTGTGTCCTCCTTCATCCATGAACCTCCTCTGAGCTCTTCCTCTTCTCCTGCCCGCTGCTCCATATTCATCCTCCACCCTCCCTCCTCTGCACATGCTCAGACCACCTAAGCCTCGAACATCTCCAGTTCTACCATCTCCATCACAGCAAGGCTCACCTCCATCTTTGAACTTTCCTTTTCACTGTTGCTCTCCGTCTGTCACACTTGCCTCCACCCACTCCACCCTGTGTGTCTTCTTCACCTCTCTGTGGATGGCTTTCCTTCATACTCATGTATTCTGTTTTGCTTCTGTTGAATTTCATTCCACTTCTCTCCATAGCATACCTCCACCTCTGCAGGCTCCACCTACTGTCACCACAGATCACAGCTGCTGTCCGGCCTTCCAGCAGCACTTGGTGCAGTTAAATTACAGCTCCCTCTGGTGGCTGCAGAAATTATGACAGCGGGAAAAAATGAAATAATGTTCTGTGACATTTTGATGCATGCTCAATCATCCAGGTAAGTAAATCTCCAAAAGTTGATTCTGTTCATCTGGACGTAGCATTTTCAGTGGGAGAAACGTTTTGTCACTCATCCAAGTGACTCCTTCCAGTGACGATGCGTGACGAAACGTTTCTCCCACGCTATGTCCAGATGAACAGAATCAGAGATTGTGTGACATTACATTTTTCTTACTTTCTTTTCCTGTAACATAAGCCAATCTTTGGCCCTGAAGCTGAAGTCAGGTGTGAGGCTGATACATGTGTCGGTCATGACATGAGCAGGAAAATGTGAAGCCGCAGCTCTGCTGAGGTTTCCATCAGCATGCAGAGCAGGCGTCGCCGTGCTGATAATTATTGATTGTGTCTCTTCATGCATGAGGTAATTTGGGATGCTCCTCATTTGCATGCAGACCGGGAGGATTCAGCTGCTGCGCTCGGCTCAGAAAATCTCAAACTGTCTGTGACACACTAACGCCGGCACGGCGCCTTCGTCTCCTGAATCACGAGCTGTGTTTTTGTGATGAAGTGAATGTGTTCATGTCAGATATCAGTTGGTTTTTCATGTGGTTCTCAGCAACAACAGGAGCTTCAGGTGTGCTAGGTGAGCCACACACACCAAGACACGGAGGGGCTTTCTCCAACTTCCTTTTGTGTCTTTGAACACATCACCTTCTTTTTAATGAGGCCAGTAACACTTTATTATACAGCCTGATAATAAGTAATTTATTAGAAACTACAGTGTAGTTATGTTTACCTACAAATGCTTAAGTCATACTGTAAGTACATTTATGTACCGCTTTATTTCTCCATAATTTTATGGAGAAACTGTATTTCAGCATTAGAGTCTCTAGTTTTCAGGGAGCAGGGTGTGTTATGGAGGTGATTCATCTCACTTTTTATGTGCATGAAGGATGCTCTATTATTCAACTGTCCTCTCATTTTACCAAGATTAATGTGATGAGGAATGAGTTTATAATGATGGAGCGACGTCTACCTTTACCAGAAGATGTAGATTTCAGATCGATACGTCGGGGAGATCGAAGATTCTAGGTGTTCACGTTGTGTACGTGTTTTCTTTGTTTTTGTCTTTGGAAGAAGAAATGAAAGCAGAAATGCTCTCATGGGGGCGTCCTGCTGTCACAGGTTTATTCATGGAAACTCTCACAGCTTTGACCACAACACAGTGATAGAAGGTATTTCAGAGCTTTCTCTGCGCTTAATCTTAAAACAAACACAGGACGTGGTTTTATGGAAATAATGAGCAGGAGCAGTAAACTGAGCGGTTGTTGTAGAGCCGAGCTCTCAGGACACGTTCAGCAGCAGACGGACGCCTCGTCTCCAAACACAGAGACAAAATCTTCCACTGAGTACACACATCACAACACAACCAGAAGAGTCTGTTCAGTGACAGGTTGCTTCTC